ATCGAGATAGATACGGCAATTGGTGGTACACCTTCATATTGCCATATGGCTTGAGTCAACGAGATTTGGCGTGCTCGCATCTCAAATCAGTGATTGAACTTCAAATAGGCTATCTGAGTTGAGGTTGATGGAGTTCACGAACTAGTGCACGTGGAGTAAGGCAACATTTCTGGTAAGTACGTTACACTACTGACTGCTGCCTTGAATTCCACCAGATAGGCTAGCAAAAAGACCTAGGCGCTCGCCAATTTTTGTGTTGTGCGATTGTTGACTGCTGCAGAGCTCATGGCTCGAAGGCAATTTGATGAACGCCTTAGAACACCAAACAAGTCGCATGTTGTTGACTCAGTGCGCTCGCAAGGCCGTCCATCATTTGTCTACAGCTAACGCGACGTTCGACTGCCTCGGCCGGCCTGGGTCAAACCGGCGTTCGCTACCCCGCCATGCTATTGCACGTGCTCCGATCCCCGGCATTTGTCAGAAGGATCCCGGCCCTGGTCATCGCCCCACCAAGGGCTCTCGCATCGCGAGTACGAAAACGGAAATCGGCGCGGACGAACATCACCTTCATCGTGGGGTATTCACTAAGAAAGGAGAGAGTCGGTATAGGTCTTAATAGAGATAGACAAGTTGATGCTGCTTGCTATATGTCAACAGAATCAATTACAAGAGTAGAGTTTAGTTATCTCAAAGCGATTCCATTGAAGCTTACTGAGGTCGGACGCTACCATCTTTCAACAACCCTAACTTCTTCTCGAGCCTTCGATCTAGGACTTCGGACTCGAGGTGTGGCAATTTGAATAACATGTACACATATTGTCCTGTAAAGCAAGGCTGCTTTGAATTCTCAGTACAGGCCAAGGACCAGGAGATTGGCGGCACAAGAATCCAACTGTTGTTTTGATGCAAGGAAAACAGCGGACCGCGGACTTAAATCTGACCTCTACAAGTAAGCTTCCAGGCCGTTGAGGTTGTGTCCCCGCGCAGACTAGGTAACCAATAATAGGGCGTGATAGATCAAGGGGACTTGTCCTCTGACTACAATTAGTCGAAGTAACTCATGTCTCAACTGTCAAAGATGACTCAATTGGATTGGACCAGACAACACTTAAGCTTAGATGTCTAACCTAAGTCCCGAGCCCTCACTGAGAAAGCTGCAAGCACTATGGTCCACCCAGGATATAGATTGATAGACTTTTACGCGACGTGTTAGTTCCAACCAGCTCAGTTGCTGAGCCTCAGACTTCCGTCCGCTGATAATTATGCTGTCCTTGGTGGCTTTTGCATTCCTTGAAACTCTTCCCAGAGCCAACAGAAGAGAACATAAGGACTCAATTACTAGTAGTTCTTCAATCGTCAAAGTTTTGAAATTTTGAGGTCCTAAACTCCTAAGAATCATTGGGTTTTGACGACCTAATCACTTCGCAATGTTCCAAGTATTTATCGATTTACTGGCCCAACTACCTGTTATGAAAATAGTTCAACGATTGTATGGCAGTGCCATCTTCTAATGCTTCGCAATCATCTCTCCGCTCCGGGATTCATCAACCTTATGAATACATATTCAAAGCCTCCTCTTGTGGTCGCTTCGTGTAGGACAGTAATTGATTGTCACAACGATCAATTTGGCACGAAAGCAGGTTACGACTGCAAGGTGTAGACCGGTCCGAAGATGAGTGTATGCGCTACGTAGGGGACTTCGGACTCGGACTCGGACCATCCTTAACTAAGGATATAAGAATCCATTGGGGCTTTGATACATCGCGCAGGCAACCGGCACGCAGCAGAATTTCATGCTGATACCCTTCTCGAATTAGATGTTACTACTGCATTATGCCTTGCGTATTGTGAACTCTCAAACAGGCCGTCGGCGAGCACGTGGTGTTGTTTACTTGAATGGGTGCAAGATAGATTTGAGTTCCGAAGCCACGTGAATTGTCTCCAGCGGGCCGAGGCAATGAGCTTCTGGTTACAGAGAGAAACGCCCACGCCCCGCCACAGCCAAGGAAGCATCCTACTAACAATTCATGCTAACAACGACAAGGCTGTATGACCTGGGGCAATTCGACGAATTGTCGGCGCTGGGGAAACAGTGGGGTAGGATTCGGTATGTTTTTTCATAATAGTTGCCAAAGACTAATGCCACGATCGCCGGCCGTGTGGGCGATGCATGTCAACCGCCGGCCGAATGATCGACAAATCCCTGCCCAACATCTTTCCTGTCACTGCTGCACATCACACTTCCTTTCATGTTCGCATAATTGTCTTCGGGAAAGGCAGTTTATGTCTTGAACCTGTTTTTCGGGACGTCTCGCCGGAAGAGGACCCATCAAAGAGTTTCCCTGGGCTCTGTCCGGGGGCTCATCAGAGGCGGAGGATCGCTGGGCGGCCTCCGCATCGTTTCATGTTTCGGGGCCAGACCCTGGGCCACAGCTCCCAAATCGCCGGGCGCTTGAAGCTGAGGTTCTCTGAACACGTCATAGCTCAGGGCTCCCCCAGATGTGTTTGGTTCATGCTCTAGGGGTCAGCTACTCTTTTGGACGGACAGAAGTGTATGTGGTCCGAGGTAAACAACGGCATGTGAATCACGATGATTTGATCCTATGAATGATAAAAAGGCTTCAGTTGCGCCTGCAATCAGCGGTAAATTAGAATTATCATCATCCTCACATTGCAACAGCACTTCAAATTACCAACACAACTCAGAAGCAACTTTGACCACAGTCAATACAAAACTAGCAAAATGTCTTTCGCCGATCTTTCCAAGAGCTTGAGCGACATCGAGCGCAAGGTCAACAAGTCGATCAAGATTCTCGGCAAGGGCAATGACATGAACTACAAGGATGCCATCAAGCTAGGCACGAAGTCAAACTCGATTGTCAGCACGATCAACAAGGGTATCAAGGACTACTCGGTGAGTATTCGGGTTCCTTTCGTCTCTGTCACGCGACTACTGGGACTAATACCTGAATCAATAACAGACCTTCAACCCCTCCGAAGACGAAGCCAAGAAGCTTCTGGGACAGATGAACACCATCGTCGATCTGACTGAGACTCAACTGAACGCCATGGTATCGAACCAGGCTCGTTTTGAGAGCTTGAAGGTCGGTGGTCTCGTGAAGAAGAACGTCACCAAGACCGAGGCTGCGGGCAAGGAGCTTTCTGCGGTCATGATTGCCAAGGCCCCTGCAAGCATCAAGGGAGATGCTGAGGCGCTGGAGAAGAGGCGTGAGGCTGCTTTCAGCAAGGCATCTGGAGCTTTCGCTGGGTCCACAGGTGGCGAGGACGAGCAACTCGGAGACGATTCCGACTAAGCGTACCTTATACTAGCCCTCAGCTTACGATACAGTCCGGCTGTATAAATAAGAGTCTACCTTTTCGGAATTTTGACAGTAGCTTGCGAATGGTGTTTTCAGGTGTATGATTATCAACCAGTCCGATCGATTCGCCAGACAGTGTTGAATTACTACTTCCCTGCAGTTACGATGGATCTTGGAAGTCGATGCCGTCATATGCAACGAAATGTATGGTTGCTGGCGAGAGCACCAAGTTGGTATGATGCAGTGGGCCTGGACCACTATGCGTCACGTCAAGGTCTTGGTTGATACGGTACGGCCCGCGGATCCGAATATCAGTAGGGGAAGGCAACTCGACTTACTAGACGTTCAAGATCAGGTCCTCAACCCTTAGTAGTAATCAGCAGAGACTTTTCTGCTTTTGCGGCGAAAGTAAAGTACATGTAGTGGCTATCATACCTGGAATTCATTTTCCTGTGTTGAGCATGATTAGAGAAGAAAAATGACCTTGGCTGTTAGAGTCATTGATTTGGCGGAAAAAGGATCAGGTAGTAGCTAATGAATCACAAATAAATTAATCAAAGATGACATGCAACGATTAAAGCTTTGCTAATCCAACATTAGTAGAACTCGTTGACCTGATGTTATGTGCTTACTGCGTAAAGATGTAATGAGAAAAAAGACAGGGTGCCTGAGCTAACCCAGTAAAGCCTAGCTTCAATCTCACCCCAGGATTTTCTCTTTGTAGGAGCTCTGGTAAGAGGCATCCCTCGGTAAGGGTCACTCCATTTGACCTATTTGAGCAGTCCCCAGGCTACACAGCGGCACTAGCCATGGGCCGATGTCAGCCACACTTCCACGTGACCTGAGAATATACCTGAACAAGTTAGATAGGGGGCCCCCTATCGATTGCTGGGGTGCTCCTTACAGGCGCTCCTTGTGCGGTTGGAGCGCGGGCCAAATCGTGGCTGCCTAGGGAATATCGGGTCTAAGCCGGAGAGGGGTTTGGTGAGTTCATGTTCCTCCGGAGCTATTGAGGTCATGGCAGCTTCTTATTGACCTCGCCATCAATGCATCATCGTGCTCAACCACATCGAAATGGAGACACTTCCTCAAGAATTGGTCGATGATATTGTTTCTTATCTATTACCGCAGCAGCACCCCGAAGCAACATTAAAGCCTTATGATACGCGCATGCGACCAATCTGGCCCATCGCTCCGATAGCCACAGTCTCGCGTCGACTACAAGCCGCCGTGGAAAAATCCACGTTCGGATCTTTGAAGATTGCCAGCGACGAATTTCCGAAGTTCATTGAGCTTCTCACTCCGGCTAGGCGATATCATCTCACCAGCTTGATCGTCACCATCACTCTTCCGCCTTACGATAAGGCTGCATCCCACAGAGCGGAATCGCCCGAAGAACGGCTCATCAATGACAAGTGCTACAGCAATGGTATAAGAACTCTATTCCAGATTCTTCGCGGGTGGGAAGATGAAGATCCCGAGACAATCAGCTGTCGCCTCGCGTTATTTATAAATCACCCAGAATCGCCTTCTGACACGCCATGGCCAACCAAGTACGTTCCATGGGGTGAGATGTATCCTGAGGAGGACGGGATATACGAGGGTCGGTTCTTGCATTCTTTCATTGAACTAAGAGAATGCCGGCAACTCCCAAATTTGGCGAGAATCAAACAGCTCACGATGATTCAACCAGAGGAGAGGTATGGCTACCGGAACACCTACCCCAAGGTGCCTATCCTCCTTGCCTCAAAGATGCCAAATTTGGAACGCTTCAAGCTGTTTATGAACGACGACGAAAAGAGATTCGACGAAATACGAATCAGCAATCGAAATGAAGCAGCACAGGCTATTCGGGAGCTGTCGTTGCCGTCACTGAGGAAAGCCGAATTCGAGTTCTTTCAGAGACGATATCGGAACGAGAGGGCAATGCCGCCAGCGTTACATGAGCCCGGAGTCCCAGACCCGTTGAGCTCTGCTATCTGCGCATTCTCACAAAATCTCGTAGATCTGAGTGTTACCGGCTCCTTTGACGACTCCCTCCTCCGACCTATGCAGGGCCTGAGCAAGACATCATGGCCCAACCTCAGATTTCTCGACATCAACATGCACGCCACTTCCCCTTCAGGAACTTGGTACTTTAAAAAAGCAGACAGCAGCCCTGACCACCGGCCCTATACTCACAGCTCCAGCACAAATAATGACCACTCGGATCTGCACAACGAAGAGTTCAGCTTCGTGGAGGAGGCCGCCTACGCGCGCATGACCCCTGTAGAAGTCTTCCGCTGCAAGCCTGACGACGATCATATCGCGCCTTTCATCGATGCCTACGCCAACGCGTTGAAGGTGATGCCTACGCTCACCTCCGCGGCGCTGAACTTTCAGCTCGAGTACGAGGCCGAGGAGGATGAACCCATCTGGATGTGCATTGCGTATTTTGCGCCCTGTCGCACGGCGCCAAAGCACCCGCCAAGGTTCCTGTGCCCGAAATGCAATAGAGGCGTGACACGACAGCTGGTGAAGTTATACCTAGACTGGGAGCCGACCGAGGAGCTGGCGGCTAACCTGCGCGCGATCGGAGACGAGGTTCATGACGCACCGATGGTGGAAAAAACCATGGCCCAGTTTATGGATCAGCATGAGTGGGTTAATAACGAGGAGTCTTGAGAACGGAACGAAGTTCCTTGCTTCACTCGCAAGCGAAAGGACCTTTTGTCTTGGACAACATCTACTGCGTAGAAGTGATCAGCGTAGCTTCATGGACCACTGCAAAACCCCGTTGGTCTCCATACGGCAGATGAATACATCGGATCAGCTTCTACCGAAATTTTTTGCCGTGACGACCATCAGTTGTGAGACTTCAGACCAGATCTCATAGAAAGATGCGTCCCTCGAGCGTTTAAGGTGGATACAGAGAAAGATCCAACTCACAGGCATAATATGTCTAATGACGATCAATGACTAAGTTGATACATGCCGGTTCAATCCTCCTATTGATGTTTTAAAAACATTGTGGCTTCAAGGGTTGGAAAGTCTTGTGACTGTGGATGTTATGGCCTGCGAACAGGAGCTAAGTGACGGCCCGAAACTTCAAAGAATCGAACATGATCACTTCAAGGCGCAATGTCCTGTCTAATTCAGTTGCACCGGGCTCTAAACTCACCTCCTTTCTCCATGAACTTGGCTTCTCGTACTTACATCAGCGAATAAGCATCTCGTTCACAGAAGAGCACTTCAAGCCCCTGCAAAGTCTCAACGGCCGGTGTGAGTAAATGCATTCCATAGATAATGACCTATTGGCAGATTCTACTCCCGTAATCGACGCCTCGGAATTTTCAGTCTATTGAGCTGCTTAGAGGAAAAGCCTACAGATGATCAAACACGGCATGTTTATGGAGTTGGCCCAGCGCAGAGCCAAGGCCCAAAGCAAAAGCTCATAATAGTAGCTAAGCATACTTGGTATATAAACAAGATATGGTACTATTTTCCTCTCCCTTGTTTGCTGCTCTTTTCACAGCCACAATGCCAAGTTATGTTTTAGGGCGCACTGTACTTTAGATAAAGATGGGACGGTCAACAGACTGGAGACTGTGACCCTCTTAAACGGCAGTCTCTGCCTGCTGTGGGGGATGAGGTTCTTTGGGTATTGTGTACTCAATTATTGAGAGAGCATAACAAAGTCACCCAAATCTTTGCCTATGTGATGACCGGTATCTCACTCGATACAATTAGAACCAATTTTCAGTAGATTTTCGGCAACGCTATCAACGCAATTTCTGGTTTCAGAGACTTAGTCCCATGCGATGCTTTCATCCCTGTCAAGAAAAGCAGCACAAATTCCGCTCATGCGGGTAAGTCGGCTCAATCGGCTTCCTCTCGAGTATCTTGAGAGAATACATTTTACTTCCAATCTCAGATGATATTCCCAATGCCGAGAGGCCGGTCGGCGCAGCTGATTGCCTCGTCATGTGTCGGCCTCCCACGCTTTGCGAGCTCTTCCAAATGCCAGTTTCATCAAGGTGGATACCCAAAAATTTGGGAGTGAATTCCGAACATCATCAGGAAGCCACTTTTGCAAAAGACAAATCACTTGAGCTTCCGCGAACCTGCAAGGCGGGCATGTGGCTTAGAGGTTTAAAGTTTGTAAGACGTGTTCCCTGCCGTGGATCGGACTCGGATCTTGTTGTGGGTGCCCACCTCGCCCCCGGCGCCGAAACAGATTAGTTCGTCTGGTCAATGAAAAATGAGTGGGTCTGTGTGAGGTTATAGCCAGTTACAGCCGTCACGGAGCGCGTCAAGATTTCCCAGAAGGGCCTGAATAAGAGAATGGAGCAAAGGGCCTGTGTGACAATGATTATACATAGTTACACGTATCTCGAAGAGTTCCAACTTCCAACACCTAACACTACAGTAGGTCCAAGAGAAATGAATCTGAAGCCGCGTCTTTGACTCTAAGAAAACTAGATACGCCTCTACTGAGGGTCGTTGAGGAACGACTGAAGAGTGCGCCAGGAAAAAGCCAAGCCATCTAGGTTCTTTCAATCGTGAAGAAGTACTCCATGGTGGAATCGATATCGAAGCTGAAATCAGCATCCTGGTCTCGGACACTCATAGTACCGCCACGAACACAACCCTCAGTGCCTCCACGTCTCCAGCTGACGGTCCATCGGAATTCTTGGCCGCTAATATGGAACAGCGGGTTGAATCGAAGGCGGACGCGGCCACGGAATTGCCCAAGGTTGTCGGTGGTCCATGCTTGGAATTGGACATGTCGATTGCCAGTTGCCTGTTCCCAGTTGGTCGGAGCTACGCCCCTAGCAGCCTCGATATTGAGGAAGCGGGACAAGTTGTCGGTTCTGATGGGGGGAGGCGGATTGTAGCCTTTGAAGCAGATATCGAAAATGGAAGCCCGCTTGTCGATGGAGTTCAGACTGTCGACTTCATCTGCGACGGGGACGGCCGAGTTGGCGACATCCATCTTGACCAAAGGTCTGTCGGTAGGAAAAGCAGAGGCGCCAAGCATGTAGCCAGTGGCGGCAAAGATAACTGCAAGAGGTTGATGATGCATTTTTATAAAGAGTGGACGAACAAGTTTAGTTCTGAAGTTCTAAGTGTAATAGGCAAGGAAAAAGGTTGTCAAGACAGCATGTATGTTTAGCTCACTTCTCTGCTGGACTGGTGGTGGGAGGTCATCTTTTATCTAAGTAGTACAGAGTAAACTAGATGTCCGGTAGTTTAAAAATCCCGGGTGCATTACAAACTATTCTTTTGATTGTTCATTTATCAAAGTTTTTCATCAATTGAAAGCTCAACTTTTCAACTTCAAAGACTTTCTCCTTCGGCAGTCCGAAACCGAGTTCAACTTCTAGTACAACAGTCTTGTCTTTTGCAAGGCATTACTAGAATTGAGCCTCGTATTAATCTAAAGATCAATAGGCTCAACTCTAATCCTATTGTCTCTGCAGGGCCGCAATCTTTCAAGAACGTCGAAGTCGAGACTATGTATCACCGCACCATACCAACCTTAACTAAACTCACCCGACCATACGGAGTAGTCCGTACTTCAAGCAAACCGTCCTCAGACCTGCTCTATCTATTTCCATCCCGGATTATTATATTCCCTTTCTGCCCAGGCTGTCGTATTCCCGACTCGAATCTCGCCTAACGTCGAACCCTCACCCAATCTCAACGCACCATAATTTCCTAAGTCACGGAGTTAGTTTTCTCAAAGGATAGTCGGGTGACCTGCATCCTCGTCAAAGCCAGTAGTCAAAACGGCCAGGCCATATTAAATCAGTGCCTCAAAAGACTAAATCCTCTGGGTTCAATGTCCTCCATCTATTATAGTTCGATTAATCCGTGCTCTTTGTTATTTTTTACTTTCAAGATAACTGTCGGAACTCGCGGAGGGTTCTATCTATCCAACTTGGCAAAGGGGGGACGGGTGAATCACCAGCCTGCTTCTGTAAACCTTGAATGATAGTAATTTGAGGAAAATCGGGGACAAAAAATAGCAGGCAAGATGATCTATGAGAGGCGGCCTAAAGACGGAATCCTAGAGACATGACGCAGTTGTGTGAACTGGGATACGATTCGTGAGATTGACGGAAGATGCAGACACAGCGAAGGGCCAGCAGCAACTTCTCGTGCAGATCTATAAAAGGCCAACCAAGTTCTCCCTCTAGCAGCCGTCTTACCACATCAGAACATTACAGTCAAAATCGCAACCATTTCTTAGCATTGCAATACTCGACTTCAGAAGATGCATTTCCTTACTCACGTACTCGCTATTTCTGGCGCTTTAGTGTAAGCTCGCTACCTTGGGCTTTTCCCAGAAACTAACGGTTCTATCCAGTTCCCTCGCTTCGGCCGATCTTCATACTTACTGCGCTTGTCAAGGCGGTACTGACCTCCCCATTCATGTCTACGCAACTCAACGTGTACATGATCAAAACCAGGGGGTTTTGAAGTGGGGTACGTACAACTTATACCGTTCCCGTTCTAGTATGTGGCTGATTACTTTCAGGCCAAGATGCTCCTGGCATTTGGCTCGGGCACGAGTCGGGGCCTGGTCCTCGGTTTGGTGGTTCTTTCGTCGAACGCAAGGTTGGCAGGATTGACGGCAATTGGATGTACAACCAGTGCCGTTTATACGGTGGCCTGGATTCCACTTGCTTTGAGTGCTCGCGGGTTCAGATGAACGGCAAGGATAAGCTTTGCATTCAGAGCTAGAATGGATCTACTCGTTATGATTAACTGCCGAGATCCATTGTTGGTACCTAGAAACAATGGACTACCTTAAGTTGGGCAGGGTTGTTGTAAGCGATGGACAAGTCGATAGATCTTTGGATGAAAATTCACCAACTTTATCTTAAGAAGAAGCGTTATTCCAGCTCTAAACTACTAATCTTCTGACTGCTAGCCTACAGAATAATGCGACGGAGAATCTCATAAGCGTGAGACTTATACGTTCCTCGAGCAGTCTGCCCACTGTCTTGCCGAAAGCTGCCGCGGCTCTATGCAAAGCCTGCACAAGGTGAATCCTTTTTCGAACAGAGATTAATCGAACAGACATTAATAATCCTTACACTCTTACCTTCAATACTATGGCGGTCTCCTTTTCCGGCTTTTCCGGCGCAAAAGCTCGAACTGAACGGGATCAGGTTTTCAAGGAAGACCACACAATACAATACACTTATGAACTACACGTACGCGCAATATGCCTCAAGCACGCGCTGAGCTCAATAATGATTTCGATAGAAAAGCCGCCATGCAATTCGAGATATCACCACGTGCTATAACTCGTAACATTTTTTTTCGCAAATCATCTAGTCTGCAGGGTGGCAGTGTTGTGCGTCAGAACAGATGCAGCACTTCTTGGAACTTCCAGAAGAAATGGAATTTCCTCAATGGCGGTTGGACGCCAGGATCCTGTCAAGTGGCTCTACCTCACCTCTTGAAGCAGGGAGATCCAAGATCAACCTTGGTACCATCAATTGCTGGGGACAAGCATTACCTCCTTGCAGGGCAGTAAATTCACAGCATGCAAACCGGAAACCTCAGCATCCTATGCGCTAAAAAAAGCTTGGGCTGGACTAAGGAGTTGGGCTCTGTTCATCCCGTCCCAGAACCTGACTCAAGAATGAGCGATACTCGCGGAACATCTCTGAGGTTGTCTGTGGTTGCGATGATAGAGTTCGACAACATGCGAGAAACCGTCTGGGAACTGGTATGGGTGCCGTCTCAAGTTGCTGGGTCCATCTGTCCCATCCTCGGCAGCTATCCCCTGCCGACTTTGAAGCACTGCAGAACCAGTGCTTCGTTTGATTTAAGGTCCGCGATTGCTAGCTGGAACCTGACTCAACTGTCGGCCGCAGCACTGTCGAAGCACTGGGCTGCCGTTTCAGCATGTCTTCTCTCCGCTACTACGACGCGCATCTCTCCAAGATCCCCCCCCCCCCCCATATTTTTAGCTTTTGGCTACTGTCTTCGGCGTTCGCGGGCGGTCTTTGTATGGAACTCCCTCACCCCTCCGCAGCGTTGAAGCCAACGCTCCCGCGCTTTGCAACCCGACTTCTGCCCGCCGACTTCCGCCCATACCGAATCCATGGGACACATCGTAGGGCGGGCGGCAGGGCTTAGTGTCTGTTAAGCAGGTTACATTGAGGTGGATCTGGCAGCATGCCGGGATGGGCAGTTCAACCTCGAACTCCCGCCCTCTGGCCAATCGCATCCAACCTTGCATACTGACGGACCTGGCTCCAAGCCGTCCGGCGACTTTCAGAGAAGGTGGCATACCTTGGAGGAACAGTATAATCTCTGATATAAAGTTGACTTGACAGACGAGGGGAGGGGATCGTCTCAGTTCTTTCAAGGCCAAGCCATTCTTTTTCTGACCACAGTCTCCCTGTTCCAACTTCCAGACCAGACGCTCTTTCAGTCGCCATATATCCCCGCGGTATCCCACACCTCAAAGACCAAGGTTCCTGTGCTTGCCGTCGAACCTGCCACTCATTCAGTCGACGAACAGTCTGTCAAAGCTCTATCAACTACTCAACTGTATCTCTCTTTCTATACGTCGACTTCAGTCACCAATAAAGCATCCACCGTCACAATGCGCTCTTCAATCCTTTACCTCGCCCTGGCCGGCCTCGCCAGCATCGCGCAAGCCAACCCAATCATCAAACCAGACGCCCAAGTCGACCCAAAAGGCCTCATCACCCGCAGCCTCTCCCACCTCCTCTTCTCCCGCTCCGAACCAACACGCTCCGAGCCGCCCCCAACAAGGAGACAAGCAACGCCGCCTCCGCCTCTAACAAGCAACCCGGCCGCCGCCCCGCCCGGCGGCGGCGGCGCAGTCAACAACGCCAACCGCACCGTCACCCTGACCGTGATCCAAGGCGACACCCTCGGCCAGATCGCGCGCCTCCTCAACTCGGGCATTTGCAACATCGCTAAGCTCAACAACATCCCCAACCCGGATTTTATCGAGATCGGACAGGTCCTGCAGGTGCCCATCAACGTCGCCAACCCGGACAACGACTCGTGCCTCAACCGCGGCGGCGCGATTCCGGCCCCGGGACAGAACGCTACTGCTCCCGGTACGCCGCCTCCGGCCGGTGGCAAGGGGAAGGGGAAAGGAAAGAAGGTTAAGCGGAGTGGGACCCTGTTTTCTGAAAAGAGCCCCCGGGCGCCTTTGCGCTAATCTGGTCCTGAAGTTGGGCGTGGCTGAACCAAGCAAGATGGCCTGTGGAGTTTGTTAGGGGGAGACATTTTGGGATGCGTACCGTGGCTGGATAACACGAGACTTTGGCAGCTGGCAGCGGGTCTAGCCTTGGAGTTTTGGCATTTGGCATATCTCAGGTGCGAGATGTGTGTGTTTTTGCGTTGCTACTCATTTTTATAATATACCTGGCTGGAACAGTCTGTTCGAAAGTTGAAAATAGTCAACCAACAACCATGAGTTTCCGTTGCAATTTTGCGTGACAACTTGAATTACGAAGAAACATTAGCGAAATACGACGCTCTTGTGCTTTCTTGGGATCATGTGACGTCATGCGCCGAGAGTTGCTCATGAGTCAGCAAAGGGGGAAAGTCTGATAACCATCGCCAAGATCTGCGTCAATTTCCAGACTACAACTATCTTCAACAGTAAATCCCGCGCTGATATTCAACGGTCATTTAACAAAGAAAAACTAATTTCAGCTGTCATACGTGATATGGCTGTTCTCTAAGTTTCAACGTCTCTCTGCCTCTCAAGATACCCCTAATCAAAATGTCAGCAATAGAATCCTCGCTGGCCTATCATGAGCCGTCCATCACCACCGTCGCCATCCTCTCCGGCTTCCTCCTGCTCCTCAATACCGTAAATTACGGCCTCGACAGGCCCGTCTACTGTGGTCTCATTGGTCAGGTATTTCTTGGTATCGCATGGGGAACGCCAGGTGCAAAATGGCTCTCTGAAGAATTGGAGCACTCGATGGTGCAACTAGGATATCTCGGCTTGATTCTGATTGTATATGAAGGTAAGGTCCATCTCTTGCAGTATCCGAGCACTATGGATTTAATTCTTTGTCTACAGGAGGTCTATCCACGTCTTTCAAGTCCCTCAAAGCCAATCTTCTACTCTCAATTGGCGTCGCCGTCACTGGCATCGCCGTCCCCATGGGCCTCTCCTTCACCCTGAGCTCTTTGATCGGCGCGACACCGCTGCAGGCCTTCGCCGCGGGAGCAGCGCTCTGCTCGACCAGTCTAGGGACAGCTTTTACGGTCCTGGGCACGAGCGGCCTCACGACCACCCGCATGGGAGTCGTGTTGACTAGCGCTGCCATGATGGATGACGTTGTCGGCCTCATCGTGGTCCAGGTCGTGTCCAATCTCGGTGGCGGCGGCAGCAGCGACTTCAACGCCATGACGGTGGTTCGACCGATTCTTGTCTCGTTGGCTTTCGCGACCGTTGTACCGGCGGTGTGCAAGCTCGTTGTAGGGCCAGTCACATTGCGCCTGAACACGATAAGAGAGAAGAACCCTGGGTCAAGAATTGATCAGCTTCTTCGTATGCGTCAGACTGCTCTCGTCATCCATACGTGCTGGCTATTTGGGCTCATAATGGGAGGGGCCTTCGCTGGGACGTCGACCTTGCTTGCGGCATATGTCGCGGGCGCCACCATCAGTTGGTGGGACAGCGAGGTGCCTCATCTCATATCTCGCGGAAAGGGCAAGCAGAAAGCATCCGTGGTCCAACTCGCATCTGCTTCAGACAACCAGAAAGCTGTCTCTGTAAATGATCCAGGGCAATCCAGTTTCGAGAATCCATCTGCAGCTGCTCCGGTGCCAAGTAATGGCGAATCGGATACCTATAACACTGGCATTGAGATCTACGAGCATTACTACAACAAGGCCGTCGAGCACGTGCTGAAGCCTTTCTTCTTCGTAAGTCCCCATGGTAAATATCCGTGTATTGAAACGGGATACTAATCCAGATAGGCATCCATCGGCTTCTCCGTACCGATAACGAGAATGTTTTCCGGTCCCATTGTTTGGCGTGGAATAGTCTACACCATCTTGATGATGGCTGGCAAGCTGATGTGTGGTGTTTGGCTGCTATCTTTTGCCAGTCCGCTCCATGCCGTGCAGCGAATCACCAAGAAGTTATCAGGTGTAGGTAGGCAGCAGTCGAAGAAACTCGCACCCGGGACACAGTGTGCCGCGACAGCATCAGATTCGGGAGCAAATAACAACCAGACTTCCCCGCCAAAGCAGCCACAACAGGACCAGGAGCAGCGGCGAGGTGCGCAAGATGGTCAAACGGAAGAGGTGCCGCCTCAACCGCTCGACTCGCAACAACCCGGAAAAACTCCGAAAAATGCCTCCCCCAAGCCGGAGATGCCCGTTTCCGTGTATCCGGCCTGCATCCTCGCCTTCTCAATGGTCGCTCGTGGTGAAATTGGCTACTTGATCTCTGCACTAGCCGAAAGCACCGGCATCTTCAGCGGCGGGTCAGGCGCACCCGATCAACCTTCGGAGATGTTCTTGATCGTGACGTGGGCCATCACTTTGTGCACAATCATAGGACCGATTTGCGTTGGTCTGCTTGTAAATCGGGTAAAGCGGCTTGAGGCGCTCAGCGACAAGGGCACGAACGGAGGTGGACGGAACGTTCTCGGTGCCTGGGGCGTGGAATAGACGGCGAGAGAGACTTTTCGGCGAGCGATAGACAAGCAATTCCTGAGTTCTTTTTGAAACTGCCTCCATATTGGCATTCCCAATCCTCATGCAATGCCAACCCTCATGCAGCAGATACATCGGGCTCATCTACAGCCCAAGTCAGTAGCTAGTCCAGGTCATACAAAGCAGCGTCTGAAACCGGTACCACGACTTTGACATTCTTGACGTCCATGTACGTGTCAGTCGGAATCATGTGTATGGATTGAGCGTATTTCTCCCGAGTCATGAGCCGTCGAATCCGACTCCTTGTGAGCCCGACTGCTCCCACCATTGCTTCAGCCCGTCCACGTCACACCAGTTAAATTGCCTTGGCTCCTCATACCACCACCTGCTACCGGGGTTGGGCTTGTCGCTAACATATTTCTTAAGGCAACCACCATCAAATCGGTGATTCTTGACACCGACGAGGAGTACAACGCTCCCAATCTTAGGGGTGAAGGCCTCAGCATCGAGGAAAACAGTCAAGATAACTTGCTTGCTAGTGCTCGGGTCGACTAGTCGAGCAGTTCGTTGTGTATGATGCGGCGGCATGTGGGACGGCTCGATTTCGGATAGTGAGGCGACGACTGCGAGGACATTGACAGACCAGTTTTGTTTGTAGGGCAAGTTCGGGATGGATCGTAAAGAGGTTAGCTTTAGGGGCGTGTTCGGGTCTGTCCAGTCGCGTGGCAAAGCCACAGGACCTCCCTTGTACTTGGCCTGCACCCTACGTTGAGTTGCCTTTGTCTCCGATACTTGCATAACCTCGAAACTGTCTTCATCTTCATCGTCGGCCTCTGCGTTTGCCTCGGGTGCCCCGATCGAAAGCGTGCGTTGTGGTCTCGGGCGTTGGGTCGATATGGGTATCGAGATCGGTCTTGGTTGTCGTGGCTTTGTCGGAGTTGCGACGGATTCCACATCGCTATCGGAGACGACCTCGTCCTCAACTTCATGTTCTGGGGGTATTGGGTCGGGTTCTGTAAGAGCCCTATGCCATCCAACGGTGACTAGGTCATGGACCACCAAGTATACCATATGCCGTGTCCCTCCAGAGCGATCGCCATGCCTGACGAGATCCTGTAAACGAATCGAGAATTCCCCCAAGCGGACGTAGCAGCCGACGCGGACAGCTCCGGTGTCCAGGAAACGATGCATCTCTCCCCGTAGGAGAGCCTGTATACAGAGCTCACCGTCCCCCAGCATTAGTCTTATGGCCCTCCATCGCTTCGACCGTGGCACGGGGAGCGACTCGACGTCTTCAACAAGGAAGACGGAACCAGGGATGCAGTAGCGGGTGCGCAACAGGTCGCTGATCAAGGGTTTCGGAACGAATGGCTCGGCTTCATTGGCAAATGCTACCTCGGCTGGGCTTGTCGACTTTTCGGACGTGTTGGGGGACATGTGGACGCGTTCATCGTTTCGCGGCGACGCGGCGTGGGAGTTGAGATCGAGGGCGTCAAGTGGTGATGTTTCTGTCAGAATCCGTCGCCAGTGGAGGGAAGGCGCGAGGTCACTGACAGGGCCGCAGCGTGGCGGGCATGCCCACTGAAGATTCGCTAATGCAAGTCATTACGTAGCTTTGGGCGACAGCTAGGGATCACCCCGGCCCGGCTCGACAGGCCGATCCTACCCTGTGCCATGCATTGGCATTTCCTTTCAGCAGCATTCACGATCCACTCGCTGAATAAAATTGGGCTTGCTCTTTCAACTCATCCTTCAGTTGTTTGATCATCATCAACTAAACAATTTTATTGAATCAACTCATAGAAGTTTTCGACTGGTTCACAATGGTGCTTTCGGATTTACTTTCGTCTCCTATCTCATCTTTGTGTAAGATCTATCAATAATTTCACTCAACTACCTTGTGCTTATTCATCGCATCTTGGAAAGCAGCTGTAGACCGCACTATTTTCTAACGAGGCTATGGTTGCAGTTACGTTACACACCCTTGAAACCTTTCCATAGTCATTTCCGATTGCTTTCAGAACGTCCTACACCTATGGTGAATGTGGTTCTTGAACATGAAATGGCACAAGGCCTCTGAGGTACTTCATTAAAGCCATTACTAGGTTGAACCATTTTGCATAAGATATCATAACTGTGATACCAATTTTCAGAACGTCGGAAATACTCAAATTTACCAATACGTCTTCACAATCGACGAATGTTACTCTAGTCATGAGCGGCGAGGTTGTTAATCCCATGATTGATCTCATGATGACTGGTATAACATCAAGACCTCCAGTCATCTGTTCTGGCAAAGCGATTGACCAGCCGGAGCCTTACTTTTCATTCGTCGACATTATTAATCTTGGTCGCAACTTCGGAAATACTTGCCAGCGAAAGAGACTTATTCATTAGAGGCCAGAGCGCTTCCGAGGGTCTGGGAAAAGATACCTTACGGGAACATATCCCGTAGATAGAACGGGTAACACTGTAGATCACCCAGATGAACGCTTTCTCAGCCGTATATACCAGCTGCTATTGATGAGAAACAGATTGGCTGGTGTCAGTGCTGCACTAGCAGTATCCTGCTCTTTTGCATGAGCTACATCATTCATGAATCTCCACAAGGAAAGTCTGATGCGGCTGCAGGAGGTGATATGTTCAGATTACGACATCCCGAGCAGAACAATCGCCATCGCCTGGGGTGACACACTTACTCTTGCAAGGTACTGGACAGTGTGATAATGTCGAGACTCAATGCAGGCCTAACTCCAGCTCAGAAACCCCAGGAATAACAGTGTCATAGAATCAGCAAACCAGACGATCAAGGCAACGCAGACAGCCAGCAATTCAAGGGCCGTGTCAAGAGAATGCCTGTGGCGACGTGCGTATTATGAACGTAGGAGATATGGCCCAGTAGGAAGAATATGATCAAGCTGGCGTGGAGATCCTAGAGAGATGAAAGGCTACGAGACTTCAAGGTTTAATTCAAAACATGAGTTCATAACATCGCAACCTCGGTTCGCTCCGTCGTTGAGACTCCGTGGTTCTGGCAAGGGAGACACATATTCATTGTGATAGAACCATAGAGTCTTAAAGATCGAATTCAAGACGGTCGGGTGTGGAAAGGAGTAGTCCGTCTTGGGCAAGGGCGCGAGAATGGGGTCCCAAGGAGTAGCCCGTTGTAGACAGGGAACGGGTGATGGAAATTGAGAAAGAGATGATTGCATGTGATAGATATGAAGTTTTTGACTGTATTTCACGACTAGGTGCCACTTTTAGTAATGGGGGAATACAAAATAGGAAGTCACAGCAAGCAATCTGTGACCAGTTTAGCTATACGAAAGCGACGCCGGGATATCCACAAAGTTTACTTATTTATGCTTGATACCGGGAGGATCTACGCCCAATCGAGGGTCGACATTCTCCTTGGACAACTCGATATTAGGGGCCGCCTTAAAAACTTCTCTGGCGCCGCTAAGAGAAGGAAGCGGAGGAAGCCGTTTTCTTCCAGCTCCGCACCCAAGGCTACGGCTGTCGCATTCAACTTGGGGCACAGAAAACTCGGGGCTTGGCCCCGAATCCGAATGTAATCAAGCAATGATGTGCGACAAACCGTAGTTTCTGCCGCAGGAATCGGCTACGTATAGAAATGACATGTGCGAACAGCCATAATAAGAAAGATAGTGCTGCTTATGCTGCTAACCGTTCAACCGTGATCAATACTCAGTAGTTGGCTAACTTTCATCACTTTGGAAGCAGAACACTGCTAAGACGCACTTCGGTGGTTTGCAACAGTTCGATAGATCTTTCAAGAAGATGGTACGGATTTAAGAGAAACATTTAGACGTAAATACGCCAGACGGAGTACTGTAAAAGGCCGCCAGCTCAGATATTTGTAGGGTACGTGGATTCAAAAGTGTGATTGACTGGTTTCAGTGCCTCTTCCTCGTATAACATTGGCAGTCCGCGTATTCAGGTCGAGCCTCTGTGTTACCACTCAGTAAGGTGCCTCCTGGCAAGCTGGGACAGGATTAAAGCTTGGCCGGATTGTGACCCCAATTCCGACAGCTGGGGTCATATAACAGACAAATAAGGTAAAAACCCCTCCGATCTCATTCGCTATCGAGTTGCAGCTTCTACCTTGGACAGAGAACGGTATTCAAAAGAGCGGGCTCTTGTAAGAGTCCGCGCTGCGGCAGGATCCGCGTCCTACTTCGGGGGGATGGGGATAAGAATGCCAATTTTAAAGTGTTGATTTCCCCACAGGGGCCTGGCCGGCGGGAGCGCCACCTTCCGGCGGGAGTTATGCATGCTCCGGTTGACTTATGCAACACCGGCCCCGAATGACCTATCCCGCAGACTAAGAAGACAAACAGCGTGGATTCTTTGGGAAAAGCATGCATACTTTTTCGAAGACAGTCAACGACTGAAGACGCTTCACATGTGCCACAACAGCCTAATAAGGAGAGAGCTCGACGTGGTCGTGCGCCTGTGCCATTCTGAGGCATCGTGGGCGTTAGGCACTTGTTAGCTTGTGTTCCGTACTGAATTCGTGATCCGTCATACACGTGGCTCTTTACTGGCTCGGCACTAGAATTCATTTCACGATGACTATCTCTGTGCTTCTTGCCGATACGGACATAGGGACTTAGATGTCGAGGCTACCATCCTCCCGGATTTAGGGAGTAGAATAATCACCGGTAGTCTAGGCAGTTCCCAGTAACCCAAGCTCGATCGTCTTATTATTTTGACAGAAGCGCTCGGCCTCCTGACAGCGATCAGGCTGGAATGACACCGACACGTTGGTAAGCCACAGTTGGAACGAGAAAGCGAGGAAAATTCTGCGCCAGAACGAACCATCAATACGCAATGCCCCGTGTCCTGCCATGTCAGTGCCGCCTCTGTTCATCAAATGGTTCCAGGCCGTCTAATGTTGAAGGGGGTATGATCCCTGCGCCCATCAGTGTCGTCCAATCGCTGGATGGCTCGCGATCGCATTATCAGGGTATCTCGCTTTCGGATTCTTAATTCATGGTGTGCTGATGGGGAAACCAACGAACTAGTGCGGCGCATGGTCCAGCTTTGGCACAACTTTGTGCAATCGGAGCTGAACCCTTTCTCGAATGCCCAGGGTTGCTATGCGATTCTAGGTCTCCCGCAACGAATATAATGTAACCGTCTTCCCGTTGAATTTTTCAGCTTTAGTCTTGAGGCTCAAGCCAAGAATTTCTTGTTTCTACATACCATACAAATATCGACTCCGCCGGACTGTTCTCCCGGAAACCAACACACAGCAAACGACTTACACAATCGATTTAGACGCAATACCAACACACAGGCCTAGGACTTTCAGATCAAAGCACACCATGGCGGATCTCAAGTCCGCGGACACTGCTCAAAGAGATGTGGATGTTGAGAAAGGAATCAGCCCCAACGCCTCGGATCTCGAAGGCGCAACCATCAGACCCGAGTCTCGCCAGGAGCCAGAGGAAAACACACATGATGCGGACAAGGAGGCGGATCAGGACCAGAACGTCGTCGATTGGGACGGACCCGACGACCCTGAAAACCCTCAAAATTGGCCCATGAAGAAAAAGTGGTTCAACATCGCTACCATTTCGATGTTGACCTTTGTAACGTAAGTCCGTCTCTAGCCCAGAACTCGAAGACGAAGCCCATCAGCTAACCTCAATAGACCACTTGTAAGCTGTCCTGGAAGGGAATTTTCAAGCTGGCTAATTACTGACTTTGTTCGCAGGGATCCTCAATGTTCGCCCCCGGTATTCCCAAAATCATGGTTGAATTCCACGAGACCTCGGCCACAGTAGCAACATTCGTCGTCTCAGTTTACATCCTCGGCTTTGCTTTTGGCCCCCTCATCATCGCTCCGATGAGTGAGGTCTTTGGTCGCGCACGGCTTTACATCTACGGCAACATCCTCTTCACCATCTTCACCGTCGGTACTGCTCTCTCCCAGAACATGGCTATGATGATGGCATTCCGTTTCCTTATGGGTTTGGCTGGTGCCGTGCCAGTCACTATTGGAAGTGGCAGTATTGCGGATATCATGCCAATAGAGCAGAGAGGTCGTGCCATGTCTGCTTGGGCTTTAGGACCCCTTCTCGGCCCTTGCATTGGTCCCGTTGCCGGAGGCTACTTGATCAAGGCTGCTGGATGGAGATGGGTGTACTGGCTAGTGACTATTGTGGTATGTATTCCTCCAAGAAACTTGAGCTAAGCAACGCACGGAATCTGACCATGCTGTAGGGTGGTATTTTCATTCCTCTCTCCTGGTTCATGATGAAGGAGACCTTCGCCCCTCTTATTCTCGAACGCAAGGTAGCCAGGCTCCGCAAGGAAACCGGCAATACGAACCTCAGAAGTAAGCTTGATGATGGCCAAACCACGAAGCAAAAGTTCCAGCACGCCATCGTCCGACCTGTGAAGCTCCT